ATTTGTAAGGAACATAAGAAAGTTAAAGGTGCAAGGAAATAGACTCATGTCATATCACAGGTTCAATACTGTACTCTTAATACTAGTTCATACCAATTCCTAGGTTAGTCTACTCATGGCTTAGTGAACTAAATCAGAAAACAGAATCTTCAGCATGTCCTCAGTTAAAAGTATGCTAGCATATTTAAGCGATAATTGCATTTTGACTGTGACCAGAACTGACCATGCAGTTTCTTCTGGAAGAATCTATTTGAGTGCTCTATAATTTTCCTCACTTTATTTCCACAATAAATAAAAATGTTCCATGTCATAGAGGAGGTAGGAAAAAGCTGGTGGGAGAAATTACATCTTTGAGAGGTAATAATACATGGGGTTTCAGTCCCAAGGGATTTTTTTCTTTTTTTTAAATGTGAATTATAGTAAATTGTAGAGACTTTGATCTCTTAAATTACCATGAATATTTGAAGAAACCTGTTTTGGGATCCAGCACTGATTGGATTTATAAAGAATTCAAAATGGATTCAAAATAGGTTGCTGTATAAATAATGGCCTTTTTCATAAAAGAGAAATTTCCCTCAGGTACGGCTACATCGTCTCCTCATTCTGAACTGGAAAGTACAGGTGCGATTCTTGATGACAAGGAAGATGCTTACTTTACAGAAATCCGAAATTTCATTGGGAACAGCAACCACAGCAGCCAGTCTCCCAGAAACACAGAGGAGAGGTAAAGTTTCTTCTTCAGTGCTATGACAATGTTACCTGAAAAATCATTAAACGCTAACGTTTGAATCTTAATTTGAAGAAAATAAGTAAATGTTATGTCTTCTGAAAAGAAGGATGTTTTCAAATACACTTGCTACCCTTACTCTGTGATGTGCCTAGTACTGCCACCAGCAGCTGTAATATATTTAGTTTTTTAGTGCAAACTGACAATATTTTTCTAAGCACCTTGTATGTATTAATTTAATTATTATAATTACTTTATGATTGCATGGTTATTATTATGTAATTTTATCAGTGAAGGAATGAAGACATTGGAGGTTAAATAATTGGCCAGAGGTCATATATTAAGTAATAAATGGTATTCGGTCTGGCTGTCTGGTTCTGGAACCCCAGCTTTCAGTAATATGCTGTGCTGTCTCTCTTGATAGTTAATTAGCTTATTTTATCTATACTTGCCAAGTGGGAAAAAAAGCCACATAGAGGTTACTACTAATGTCATGCAGTGCATAATTACAGCTAATATATGAATATGTATGGCTCTGTATATAAATATATGTGTGTGTGTGTATATATTAGTATATATATGTTAATAGGGGGTGAGGAGGGAGAAAACAGATGATCAGAAGTACAAAGCAGTAAGGAGAAGTAAGGAAATCACAATCTTATATTTACAAGATACAAATGAAACACAGAATGAAAATACCATTTGAGTTCTGAGATGCTTATTCAGAATTTCTGGATTTTGGCTGGAGATTGTGAGCCCTTATAGGTAGAGTGCAACATCTGGCCTCAACATGTCTAAACAGTACAGAAGTAAAAAGATTGAGTCATCTGACTTTTTCCCCTCAACTCCTATCAGACAACTTTTGATGAATAATTTACTCCCCATAAATTGCCACATTTGAAAGCATAATTAACAAATAGGTTTTCGTAATCATGTTGGCTTTGTTACTTTTGGTTTTCATCCATGCACTCTTTTGTTCTTTTACTTTTTCTTTCATTTTTTCAAATAGCAATTTCAATCCATTCAAGCTAGCAAGTTGGCAGTGGATCTGGAAACTAATAATTTATGTCTGGGCAAAACATGTTTTCATCTTTCTTTGATAAAAGAGGTTAAGAGATTAGTTATACAAAAAGTTCAATAAAATATGACATTTTCTGGTCAACTGGATTTTTACAACGTGCGTCTGTCACACCCAAGCTTGTTTACTTAATTATTTTACCACGAGTAATCTAAAAATTCAATTATACTGATTTTTATATGGCAAATAATGGGAGTGCATTGATATTTTATTTTTCATAATTTGAAAAATGTTTACATAAAATATGAAATTCATACATGAATTTAACTATAAGTTAGCAGTCTCAGTGACTTTTCTAAATTAGTGTAAAAGTAAAAGAATAAGTCATCTCGGGGCACCTGGATGACTGTAATGGTTCGATCTTTACCAGGTTCTCTGAAATTGGGCAAGCCCCCTTACTTTCCTCATCATATACATGGAAAGGATGAGCTTCAGGGGAAATTTTCTTTAGTTCAAAACGTCTATCATTATTTTGAAACTGAATTTCAACATTTAAATTTTACTGTGAAACAAATTTTCTTTGCACTTATTTTAGTGTTCACTTTCAAACTCAAGTTTATCCTCATTTCATAAATGCTCAAATGTATGATGCTGGTACTTCCATGTAACTAAACTATTTTTTGCAACTAAACTTTTGAATCACGTATTAACTTTCTTGTAAAGACCAACAGATATCATGCATAACTTTTTAAATATAGTCTTGTTTTTCATCATTACATTAGATATGCTTGTCAAGTCAGCAAACTTCAAGAGATATTGGGGCAATTATTTTTTTTTAGCTCATGTTCCCACCCCAGTGTTATCCTGGAAAACTAGAGATATTTTTGCACTCAGACCATCAAGGATCATTTGAAAATACAGTACAAATAAGTAAATTCGCAGACACTTCCAAATTTGGGTAGAGTGGCTAAATGGCAAAAACACTGATGTCACTTAGAAATCCCAAAAACCAGCTGATCCTTGACAGCTACTTTCACATTTTCTTAGAAAGCTTAGATTCACTTTAGGCTTATGTGTTAAAGATTTTGTCAATGTTTCAGGGAGATAAGTTTTCCATAAATCTATCTATATAAGTGGTGGGCATTTATCTGATAATAGTTAATAGTATATAGAGAAAATGTCCATGTGCTTTTTTATATTATTACATAATAATATCATTTATCAGGCAAAGGCCTGATAAGGAATAGAAGACTGAAATTGTTTTCCCAGTTCTGCCAGAGGTTCCATTTATATTCTGAATAATCATCCACTCTTTTCTTTATTTTCTCATTTGAGAAGTTAAATTATTTTCCCATCATTCCCATAAAGTATAAACAGAGCTTATAAGTGTTCTAGGAAGACATAATAAAGCTAATTGCACATTTGAAAGTGGGACCAATTTTTGGATCTTGTGTTTTTTATGCTTTTCAAAGAATGAACGGCAGTCACTTTAAGGATGAAAAGGCTCTGGTAACCAGCCAAAGTTCAGATTTACTGGATGATGAAGAAGTAGAAGATGAGGTGCTGTTAGATGAGGAAGATGAAGACAATGACATTACTGGGAAAACAGGAAAGGAGCCAGTGGCAAGTAATTTACATGAAGGAAACCCCGAGGATGACTATGAAGAAGCCAGTGCCCTAGAGATGAGTTGCAAGACTTCGCCCATGAGGTGAGTGCCCCACAACACTGGTCAGTCAGCAAATGTGAGTCCACATGTAAGATGACAGTTTCTTCTGTCTGCTTCTCCATCAGAACAATATTTCAGTGATAAGAAATATATGAGAAATAAATGATAAAAATAAAATTTGAAGTAGAGAGGCATACTCTGTGTATTATTTTTAAATAGAAAACTAAGGGGACCATCAATATAACCCAAAAGGACATAAAAACAACTGTGTTTTGACTAACCTGAGATAGGAAGGTTATTTGAGGATTATATAAGCACACAATCAAGTAGTTAGATTTTACTTATAAAACACCAACAAAAGTAGAGATTTTTATATATTTTTTTACTTCATTCTAGTATGATTTTAATCAGATATTTAATGAGGTAAATTCCATGTAGTCTGTATAGGTGATAGATGATAAATGGTAAAAGTTACACAATTAATTTAATGAGAATATTATATTTTAAATTGATAGTTAGCATTGATTAAATATTGACATAACTGACTTTAATATAAATTAAAAACATAAACTCTGTCTCCACTGCATTGGTGACTTAACATGTCATTGACTTTGAACAATTTATTTGAAATATATGCTTGAGTTTAGTTATGAAAAATTTTAAAGGATATATATTTTAAAATATTTGCAAGCATTTTAAAGCACCCGATAATTAATGTACATTAGTTTATATTGCAAATACAATATGAAATTTGACAGCTGTATGGATTCAAATGAAAAGTGATTTGGTTGAATGACAGGCTGAAAAAGAAAAAAAAAGAAAACAAACTCTGTGCTTTCCTACTGATTCATTTTAGGTATAAAGAGGAAGAATATAAAACTGGACTTTCTGCTTTAGATCACATAAGACACTTCACAGATAGCCTCAAAATGAGGAAAATGGAAGATAATCAGTATACTGAAGCCGAGCTGTCTTCTTTTAGTACTTCCCATGTGCCGGAGGAACTTAAACAGCCGTTACACAGAAAGTCCAAATCACAGGTACATATTTTCCTACAGGATAGAATCACGGTGACACTGTGCATGAGAATGTACATTTCCTTTGATTACCAAAAGCAGATATCCTACCTGGCAGTATTCTAGCATCTGAACACATTCAGATGTTTCCATCATATTGTTCCCATCCTTTTACTCTGTCTATGATTGAATTTAAAAACAATGAACCAATGCAGCAAATAATATGACTGAATTTTGCACAGAAACTTCTGGTAATGAATCTTATCCTACAGTAATCTTTTCTCTACTTAGAAATTCTTTTAACTTCTGTAAGGTAGTTTACAATGTTTGCTCGCATCTATTTATATTTATTTCTGTATTATTTAGTAATTGCTTTGTGTCTAATTTTTAACATGATTTTACCTTCTTACTTTTTGTGAGTGAACTTTGATCTTTATTTTTTTTATCTCCTATTGTATATAATTAATTAGCAAGCCACCTAGTTATAGAATCTAGGAACAAACTGAGAGTCAGAGTTAAAATTAGTCTCTGAAAGTCTGCAGCAACTTAATAGCAAACCTAGAAGTAAAACTTCCTAATTTTTATTGAAGGAATGACTAAGACCCAAGTTTATTGGTTATACATCTTTCTGTCATAACTATGGTAAATAAAATTTGTCCATCCCAGGATCCATAAATTCCAGTTAGTGAATATCATTTCATTAATTCCTTTATAAAGTAAAGAAAGTAAAGTTATTTTCTGCTTGATACGCACAACCAACCACATCGTTCTCTTCAGGTCAACAACAGGAACAAAAAGAAACATTCTATTATTACTGTATTATTGATCACTTCATTTTAATTGCTTGATCCATTAGTTCACTTTGAGGGTCACCCAGCATATCAAAGAATATGATCATATTGGTTTATCCATTTGGAAATGTTGTCTAATTTGCTCACATGTTGAGGACTGAACTTTGATTGTAAATGTGGCCATATCCCTGCTAAGTTGGTAACAACATTTTTCAAAGTAAACAATACATATTCTTAAAGTATTAGTCAATTTAGTTAAAAGACTAAGATGTGTGATAATAGGCAAAAATTGAAATAAAAGCAGTCATCTCTCAGGACTGTAGTTACCCTCTTTGTGAACTTGTGGGCACGGCCTCAGGACTACAGCTACTGTCTCCGCAGTGTAAAGAGAGGCAAGTGGAGAAGACATCTAAGATCTCTTCCTGCTGTGTGACTCCAAGGGGAAATTGTTTTGTTTTGTTTTTTTTTTTCTATTGTTGGCATTAAAGGTAATCTAACCAGAGGAAACACATCATTTTTACTTCGAGTCAACCAGAAGAGATAGCTAGTATATTTTTTAAAACTATTGATTTCTTTCTTGCTAGATGATCAAGTATATTGGAGGGATGCAGATTTTCTCATTAAAAAAAATGTTATTTTCACTATTTACCAACTCATTTTGAATTCTAATACAATAGGTTAAATTTCCTGAAACTGTCAGATGTGGTAGAAAGTAGAAGAACCTGAGAACCCAGAGATAATGGCTATAAGAAATTTCAATACCAGTGTTTTGACATAAAATACCTATGCTGTTGGACCACCAATTATCTTTGCAAGAAATGCTAGCATTTTGTAATCCTAGCTCATATCTTTTTACTATTTTATTTTACTAATATATTTATGTATTAGCTTGAAAATGTTCAGACCTTATTGCAAACCAACTTTGTTTCATGAGACGCTTCATCTTTCATTCAATAGTTATTAAGCTGTCAGACAAAGAGGCTGGGCACTGAGCCTTGTGCATGAAATATTATTTCTTGACTACCAAAATGCAGATATTGTATACTTGCCATTTTCTAGAATCAGAATGGGTTCAGATACATTACTCAAAGCATTCATATATTTATTCTGTGCTGATTAGAGTGGTTGAATCCTGAATAGTTGAAAATACAACAGTGGCTATACTCTTCATGGAATCTTCTCAGAAAAACTCTATTCTTAAAAAAGTTGATTTCATGATGATCGGTAATGTTTATGGCAGGCTTTGAGCTAAGTACTTTATGTAAGTTAGTGCTGTTATTCCACCACGACTTTTGGAAACAAGCATTATCATCAGTGTCTCCATTTTATGTAAGGAAATTTTCCCTGAAAGGATGAGAAGCTTGCCTAAGGTCACGTTTAGTTTAGTTGTGTAAAAGCAGTTTAGAGCTCAGATTAAAATTCAGGATTCCAAAATCTTCTCTATAACTTTTTATCTTTCCCCAAATTAGAATATTCTTAAAGCTATTTTTTTATCTTACTACCTAAAGTAGGGACATAATTAGAATAGATAAAGTTCAGTGCTTGCCTAATCCATACCTTAAGCTTTAAGGGCAAAGAGTCTAAATTATTTATTCTTCATTCTGGACCCAGCCTAGTGTCTGGCATAGAGTAGATGCTCAAGAAATATTTGTTCAATGGTGTTAGATTCTGAAGAAGTTCAGGAGGCAAATTGCATACATAAAAGTCAAATGTGTACATTTAGAGCAATGACCCAGCAAATCAACAGCAGCCTGCAAGGGCAGATTTTCCAACTAAATGCCATGATTAGTGAAGAAACCACAGACTGGCCACATGTCTCAGCATGAATCCCAGAGATGAAATTCTGCTTAACAACAGAGGCATTTTGTCTTTGTTTACAGACAGTGGAATGTCTTTGGCAGGACTTTAATGATTCCACTTCAGCAGCATTTTGACAAGTGAGTTTAGCAATGGATGAAACCAACAATAGCAAATCAACAGTGAAAAGTTCACTCACAAGTCAAGACCAAACATTTTATTGGAATATTTTACTTGGCAGCAAATGGGGGATTCTCTGAACAGTTATTTAGATTTGACATGATAATAGGAAAGAGAGAGCACTTCCTCACGGCACACCTCCATGCACCTTTTGCTCAGCTGACATTGGAACACAAGTTGGGCAGAACACCATTGTGTCTAAGTTTGTTTTTTTTTTATTTGTTAGTTGAACTGATTTGCTCTATCTCAGCTTTCCAGGTCGTTAGCTGTCATCAGTGCATACTTCAAGAATGGGAGGGAACTGGAGAATGGACACTGGATTTAAAGTTGGGCAGAAATGAGTTCTATTTATGCCTCCTCCACTATGTAGTTGAGTGACTCAGGCAAGTCATGTCACCTTTGGTGCGCTCAGTTACCGAGCTCAGGTGTCAGACATTTTTCCTTACATGACCACAGTGCTGTCAAGGCCAAGCCATGTCCTGTTTCTATTTGTGGTTTTAGTCATATGCACACAGGCGTCATTTGGATGATCTGTGCATGTGATGATTATATGTATGATCAGGCAGGAGGAAAGCTAGTGTTTCTCAGTGGACGAACTAATTGTCTAATTAGGTATGATACTTCATATTTGGTTCTGTCGAACATGTAGTCCCTTTTGTGACTCTAGATACTGAAGGCTATCAGCAACCCTAAATCATTAAAACATTAAAAAGTCTTTTCCAAGCCCACCCACAAGGAGTGAGTGGTCCTATTCACAATCCCATCTTTAACAGTCCCCAATGGTAAATATTGGGGAATATTCTTCACATTGAAAGTGATATTTTTGTAATGCCATTTATTTCTGTCCTTTTCACCCCAGGCCTACGCCATGATGTTGTCACTGTCCGACAAGGAGTCCCTCCATTCTGCTTCCCACAGCTCTTCTGACGTGTGGCACAGTATGGCAAGGGCTGCAGCGGAATCAAGTGCCATCCAGTCCATAAGCCACGTATGACATTACCAAGGTTGACCAGAATGGGACCAAGTCCAGCAGTAACATGGCTCTAGGACTATTTAAAAGACTGCTGAGCAGAATGCCTTAGAAACCTGAAGGGTCACTCATTTAAAGTCTGGTGACCTTAAACTGAATGATTAAAAAATAAAAAAAAAAAGGAAAGAAGGAAGGAAGGAAGGGAAGAAGGAAGGGAGGAAGGAAGGAAGGAAAAAAGGAAGGAAGAAAAGGAAAGAAAGAAAAAAGAAACTATTTATTCTCGATATTTTGTTTTGCACAGCAAAGGCACTGCTGACTTCTGGAGGATCAATGCGACTTAGAATGACTCAATGAAAATGCAAAATTTGCTGGCAGAAGGCATCTCCCAGTTCACCCTGCCCTAGGGTGTGGGTGGGTGAGAGGGCAGTTGAGATGATGGCATTGATATGAATGAAATCTCCATAGAAACTGCATTCTCTTTTGTACAAGATCACCTGATACATGATTGGAAACAGTTGCTTTGAATTACAGAATTAAATTTTTTCTTTGTTAAAGTTTTATGTAATTTAACCCTTTGAAGATGGAAGTAGTTGGATGAAATGCACACTCAGTTATTATAGAAACTGATTAAAGGGAGTACTTATTATTCCCCCCTTAACTTTTGCCTTCTTAAGTACATTGTTAAAAACTAGGGAACAAGGGTATGTGTATATTGTAAACTATGGATGTTCAATGCTCAAAGAGGTTAAGTCAGTGAAGTAACTTGTTCATCACCAGTACCGCTGTACCACCACACTAATAAAATGTTTGCCAAATCCTTGTAATAACATCTTAATTTTAGACAATCATGTCACTGTTTTTTAATGTTTAATTTTTTGTGTGTTGCGTGTATCATGTATTTATTTTTGGCAAACTATTGTTTATTGATTAAAATAGCACTGTTCCAGTCAGCCACTACTTTCTGATGTTGGAGGCCCAGCCCTTTCTGAATTTCAAGAACCAAGGTGAATTTTCTTGTGTTTGGGCGTGCCAGATGGTGTTTGGCTTTTCTTAACATTCCTTTTTGTTTTGTTTTCCTTCTTGATGAGCTAAATACGAATAGATGCAACTTAGTTTTTGTAATACTGAAATCGATTCAATTGTATAAAGGATTATAATTTCTTTCATGAAAGCATGATTCTTCTGATTAAAAACTGTACCCCATATTTTATGCTGGTTGTCTGCAAGCTTGTGCGATGTTATGTTCATGTTAATCCTATTTGTAAAATGAAGTGTTCCAGACCTTATGTTAAAAGAGAGACGTGAATAACAGACTGTATTCAGTTATTTTGCCCTTTATTGAGAAACCAGATTTGTTTTCTTTTTGTTTGTATTCTCATTTTGAAATAATCGGCAAATTGAGGTACTTTCTTCAAATGCTTTGTACAATATAAACTGTTATGCCTTTCAGTGCATTACTATGGGAGGAGCAACTAAAAATAAAGACTTACAAAAATGGTTATTTTTTTCCCAGGGTGTGGTATTTTCCCTTCTCGTGCAATTTTAGTTTCCCTTGGGGATCTGATGATTTGAAGATATGATATCTGGGGCCTTGATGCCCTAACAGATACACAGAATGTGGAGCATGTTTGTATTGTGTAGAGATGACACAGTGATAGCCTTGGCCTGCAGGGAGTTGGGATATCTCCCACTCATTGTTCTGAACTCTCTCCATCTGGTGCAAAGTTAGGGCTCATGTGCAACCTCCGAGGTTCTGGTGTCACCCAGTTTTATTAGGACAGAGAGCAGTTTGCAGTTACTTTGCACTGCATTTTACATAGTTCATGTCAAAAGGATATTTTGTTTTTGTTTTTAATTACAGCTACTCTTCACTGATTTTCAAGGGGTGGGGACCTTTAACTTGTCTATGTGCCTTTTAGATCTTTGTCCTCTTACAAAGTATTTTTTCTTTTTCACAACTGGGATCAACATAGACGTTTTTTTTTTCCCCCTTATGGTAAAATAAATCAATGCATATCACTACAAATTCTTCAAACTAGTTAATTAATGGTGGCCCTGATATCCCATCAGGATTAAGTTGCTGTGTTCAATTATTTTAATTTTGTTGAAAATTTAGATTTTCTGCTAGTGTAATTTTCAGGTGTGTACTTATTTATTTGTGTTTATATGCATACACACAAGGTTGAAATGTGAAGAGAGGTATTTCTACATGGTAAATTCTCTGGTGGGCTAGTGATTATGAATATATATTTTTTGCTGCTTACCTGCAATACCATTGCTCAGCACATGATGATTCTAATTTTGGCCAAAGTTAGTATTATAACAACATCTGAAGAAACAGTCTGACACATAGAGATAATTCCAGACTCATTTATTTATGCCTTTCTTTTTTTTCGCTTATTTTGAGCCTCAGTTAAACACATTGCCTCATCAGATCCTTTCTAAGTTTTCTAAATGTAAGAATTGGATAATGGCATATAAATAGTGATTTTTGAATAAAAATAAAACATGCCTATGAAAAAATATCCAGGAAATAAATTTCAGTTATAAATTTGAGCTATTGAGATGGAAAAAAAAATCTAATATTTGTGACATAAGACCAACAATTTCTGAAAGTGAAGATTTGGAATGTTTTGTGTGTTTTTAATTATTTTAAGGAATAAACCTGTAAATCTTAAGGAATACTCCCAGTGCTATGAAACTCTTGTTAGATATTGCACATGACACTTCGTGCTAAAACTTAGTCTTTCCAAATCCCAAAAAGGCCATGACCCTTACATTTTTGCTGTTTTCCCCCACCCATTTTGTAGTCGTCTCCAGAACACATCATTGCGGGAAGGCAGTGGGATGCAGTGAAGACAGTGATGGTATGGAAACCAAACACCTGAGCTTAAGTTCTTGTTCCACCATTAGAATGACTGAGGGTTTAGACAACTCACTCGCTGCTCAAAATCTCACCTGTGAAGCCAGGCCATACTATCTGCTTCTCTTGCTACTGCACTGGGTTTTAATGAGTGCTGAAAATCAAATGCATTTTTGGGAAATATTTTGGTAAAAGTTTATGTATGCAAGGCGTTTTATAGTATTCATGCTAATTATTAAGGTGCTAAAATATATGTGCATAGCTACATATTTGTATACATTCATATGTATACATATACATACCTAAATAGTATGTTAAGAGGAAAGTTTTAGGGTAGAATAGAAATCTAGATTAAACAATAGTGAAAATGGGTGCCTTCTAGAAAAAAATGTTAGGGATGTTTCTTGAAAAAATACATAGTTTTGAAACACAAAGACATCTCGTCCTTGTGAAACATGAGCTACCCAGTATAACTGTTGATAGTTCTCAAAATAATTCAGGGATAGTTAAGAGAACATATTTAAAGTAGCTAAATTCATACTTTTATTTTCAGATAATAACCATCAACCAATTTTATTTCTGTAGTGCTTAAACTGCCTGTTATGTAAATGTCATGTTAGAACAAACATTTCAACTACTTGAGTTAGACATCACAACTGATCTCCAAATGGTCAGCATTAACCCTGTATCAGAAATGAGGAGACTGGGTCTCAGAGAGTCTAAGAACCTATCTTAAAGTCACCCATCTGTGAATGACTGAGAATCCCAGGCTGCCTGGCTCCTTACCCCACACTGCCAAGAGTCTTGGATCCCCTGAGCCCTGCTCAGGTAAAGAAATCTAAAAAAGAAATGTTCCAAACCAAGGAAATTTGCATCAGAGAAACAGGTCGGATATGTAGATTTGCCCAGAGGTATTTAGTCCTGATTCTTGGCAGTGAAGAGTTTGGAAGGTAAGCACCAAGCTCTCATTCTCAGACTTATTCAGATTATCTCAAGTCAGAACCAGTAATATTAGTGTTTGTCAAAGAATATTAAATGCTTCCTTAATTGACTTGAAACTTTAAAGAATTTCTTAATAGGAGAAATGTGGGAAGAAGTGGGAAGAGTATACAAATAGACTATGTCCAGGAACATCCAAAAGAGAGTTTAGAGAGTCATACAGGTCTTCCCCAAGAGACAGTTTAGTGTTTAATTGTTCATTACATTCTGTATAGTCTATAGCTGAATATAAAGATAGTCCTTGGTGCATTATGAGTTTTTTTTTTTAAACAAACAAACAAGCAAAAAAAAAAAAAAAACACCACCTCATAGTACAAAAGCTGGCTACTATAACACAATGGCGTTCACAATAGACATTTACAAGCACCGGATAGTATGATGACACTGGAACTTTTGTGCATTGTTGGTGGATTGGGATGGTGTGACATCTGTGGGAAACAGTATGGCAGTTTCTTGAATAATTCAAGACAGAATTACCACAAATACAGCAATTAAACTTCTGATGCATACCCCAAGTAAATTAAAAGAACAGAACCTCAAAGAGATAACGGTACACTCACATTCATAGTACCATTATTCAATAGCCAAAAAGTAGAAGCCACACAGTGTCCATTAGTAGAACAAACAAAATGTAATATAGACATACTGTGGAATATTATTCAGTCTTTAAAAAGGAAGGCCATTTTGACTCAGGCTGTAACACAGATGAACTTAAGAACATTATATTTAGTGTAATAAACTAGTTGCAAAATGACTACCATATGATTCCATTCATCTGAGAAAAGTCAAATCCACAGATTTAGAAATATAATGATCATTGCTAGAGAGGAATAAGGAGTTGTTATTTAATGGGTATAAAGTCTCAGGTTTATGAGATGTAAAAATTCTGGAGGTTGGTTATATAGCAGTAAGAATGAACTTACCACAACTGAATTGTATATTTAAGTAAGAGGATAACTTTTATGTTACATATATTTTACCACAATTAAATAGACAGAAAAAATAGAAAAATATAATCTATGTATATATGGTTCTTTTAGCTTAAAGGATTGAATTTTATTCGACTCAAACAAATCAAAATCCTGGATGGGTAGATAGGTTCATAACAGTTAGTGGGAAAGCTAGAGACCAGAACAAACATTACCCAGTCATTTTTTATCCCAGGCACCATTAGGAACCAATGGACAGGCATCATAAAGATGCATCAACTACCAGCAGTCTAATAATTTTTTGTCACTCTGAGGCTAAACAAAAAATCCAGGACTAGAGCATGAACTACTACATGAAACCCTCTCTATCTG